TGCATAGAATGATCGTTCGTGGTTCATTTCGAGTATTTTATGTCCTTTAAATTGAATCGAAAATGGTCAGAAATTTTCTAGTACATATGACTGCAATCCATGAGCAAGAAATCGATCGAATTCCAGTAAGATTTCTTCTACTTTCAATGGAAAACTGGCTAATTCCTTTCTTTTCATTTAAGAAACCCACTGGTTCCAGTCATGGGAATGGTCACCTTGAAATCCCATTATTTCACAGTCATTCTCTGTTAGCCTGATGAATATGATATCAAAAAAACTCAATGAAATTTCTCGGTTTTATAATTTTGAAAAATTAAACGGTACATGTTTGAAAAAAATACACATAAAATGATCTATTATCACAAAGATAAATATAGAATGCAAAATACTGATAAGAATATGATACATCCAGTAATCTACAAGCATCTGACGTTGAAGTTCATGATTGAATTTTTGCTACTCAGGTTAAGTAGATCTTTGCACTTCCGGGTATCCAGTTAATGGAACCTGTCGTATGCAAGGTTCGCTCATCATTTTCGAGGTGAAAATAAAGTCAATTGAAGTAGCAGTCGTTGCACAAGGAATGTTATATACTTCAGTTAATCGAAGAAGTGCTCTAAGGTCGTCGCTATGAGCTTGAAAACTCAGCGAATCAATAAGAAAGACAACTATGTCAAGCTCGCCCGAGGCAATTCTTGCTCCTAACTGTTGATTGCCACCCAAGGAACCACTTTGAAATATGGTTACATGTAACTCAAACTACTAATATCATGTGTATATAAGTTACTGCTCATTGTAAATGATATTTAAAAGAATTTTCATGCGATCAAGATTGTTCACAAAAAAAGAGAAGTAGAGAGTCAATATTTAATTGATTTCTCATCAATTATTCTTATCAACCGTGGATAATTCGGGAAGAACCATGTGGAAATATTTGAGCAATACAACATCATAATTATCAATTCGAAGGTAGTTGAGAAAATATTGAGGTTGAAAGAGTAATGAAATGTAATGACGAATGAAAATGTACAAGTACTGATTTGACTCTTTATGAACGCTTCGATTTTTTTCCAGACTCGTCAAATGTAATAAACAATTTTTTTGGGCAATATACAATATACAATACATTAAATGGTGTCACTTTAATTGTAGTTTGAACAAAAAAAAACATCGTCTCTCGATCTACAAAGGTGGCCCAATGTTTCTAATTGATTTTTGTTTAAATGTTAAGAACACCTCGAATAGGTAAATTCAGTGTATGCTGGTAATATTTTATATTAAACATAAAACTGAACATGAGTCTTTTTCTGTTGAAATCGTATAGTAATTGAAATATTGATATTAGTTTTTGTTTTGCATATTTTTTTCAAATATGTACAGAGAAGATTGCAACTAAGAATATGATCTTGGTGTGTCAAACTATCAGATTATGATAAATTTCTAAAAGATCATACATTTGTTGGAAGGTTTTTATTCAGATATAATATTCTGCAAATAGTATTACACATTTAATGGTCAAGCATTGGTTTTAAATAATTTTGATGAAACAAACAAAGTGAATCTCCAATAGATTTATTTAAGATTTGCTTTAGTCGATAAACTCACAAACAATTTATTTTTGTATAACATAGTTACTATTCAAAGATGTTGCAAGAATTATTTGCATCTAATAAAATCCTTTATCAGATATTGGAGATCTTAATTCAGCTTTTTTATGTTTCTTTAAAATAAGAGATAAAACTAAAAAATAATATAAAGAATAAAGAAAAATTCTTTTGAGGAAAGAAACAGAAGGGTGAATGTCATAAGTCCACATGTTTTTGATTAGCTTTACTTAATAATTATGTAGCATTGCCGCATCTTGTCTAGCAGATACTTTCTTTATCTAACTTTATTGTTTTCTTTATTCACTAACCTAGGCAATATTGTGGAGCGATGCGTAACTGGTAGTAGCAATTACGATGATCGAGTTTCAAGATTTGAACGCCCAGTGGAAATTTGTCGAGCATGCTATTGCAAAAAAAAAGTTGAAAAGTCGACAATGTAGTCAAATAAAAATCAATAGATTTGTAACAATAAACTTCTAACAGTCGATTATATCGTTAACATTTTATCTCACCAAAACTTTTGAACACCTTGACATGAATCAAATACATTCGAATAGTCGAAAACAATTTCATTAGATAAAGAAGTAAAATAAGTTGATATCAGATATGTATTGTGCATTAAAAGTCATTGAAATGTGTCAAATTCATTCTACTTCAGGTCGCATTATAACGGACAATAAAAGAAGATATTATTTATACAAATCACTAAGACGAAATAAAAGATTTCTCAATATGCTTCATTTGCTTTAAATACATTAAATTGATCAAGAATAAATGCTAGAAATCAATAGAAAATAATAAGTTGAAAAAATTCCAGTCAATCTAAAATCTTGACTCATGATTTTTGTCTTCGACTTTTCTCTAATCAAGGGCAACAATGACTAAAAACAATATTCAAGTCTCTACTCTGTAATTTTGCTTGCAATTCGACCAGATAGCAGAGTACCAATTTATCAGCCATAAATTGGATCTGATGGATATCTAAGATAAATGATAATTTATAGTCGTAGAATAAGAATCACTAGAGATTGAAACGAGAACAGTGGATGTATATACAGTCAAAACTTGGACTAGGATATACTTACTATGATTATGTAATCCACAATTAAACGTATTATCGAAAATCTACTATGCTTCAATCTTGTATCAATCAGCTAAGGGTGTAGAACTTGATAGAATTTGCTATGAATCAGAATAAATTTTCATTCACTGCTTTCCTCCAAAATCACATAGAATGATCACAGAAACAAATTGTACTGTGTATATATCTAGTGTAGTCATCTAAAAAAAAACCGATTTTGACGTTAAATGATTTACCTTAAATTTGTTTATGTTTTCAAAGCAGTAGCGACGAGAACTTCGCTAATCTTTCTTTTTTTTGACAAAATAAAAATATTTCATCAACTCAGATCTCAAACAATTCTCGTATTTTAAAAATTTAAAAACAGAAAATGATGACGAGATTAATATATGATCTCCGAATGGAACTAATACATGTATACTTTTTTTTAAATAATAAAAAGAAGATTTCATTATAGAATGTCTAACGTTTCTTGCTCTTTCCTCCATCTTATTGATTTCCACAACGTGTTTTTAAATTTGGTATCATTTCAACAAGATAAAATTATACATAATCTTTTTTCTTCAAATTGTTATTTTATTAATGATGCATCAGCATTTTTTAACTATATTTGAACACGAACACAAACATAACATTGTGGTTTAGATGATTCTTCTCGATAATATAAAAGATTTGCTTCAACAATAACTTTGAAGCTAGTACTCTTTCAAATGTAATATATTCCATTATATGATAGATTATCGACAGCTTTTGATTTGCAAATACGATGTCCTTGTAGTGGTGTTTTTTTTTTGAATTGATATGACCTGTACAAATACAAAGAAACGACATTGATCAGCATGTGTTGCCAAATTCGGAAAAATCCTTGATTATTATGTCCTCATTGTGATACTGAAGTGCAATGAACAGGTAATATTGAAGTTCTTGGAAAAATATCGCTTCATTTTTCACTAGCTAAAGCGTACTGCAAAAAAATTAAGAACATTTATGCAGAATTTACGTTAGCAGCTCTTTCTAGTTGTGTATTCAAAAATATTCTATCACGTTTTGTTTATGAGCATTGAGCAAATCTTTAAAAAAAAACATAAAAATGTGTCCTTCGAAAATAGCTTGGAATGGCTACAGTAGAACAAAGCGATTTCTTCATAAATTTGGATTGCCTGTTTTATAATCCACTGTGTTTTATTGCTCTCTTTTTCATTAGATTTTTCATAAACCTAGCAGCAAATAGTACAAGATTATTTTAGTTAACATAATTAAAAAAAATGAAAACAAAGATTGACGAAATATCGATAAAATTTCAATGTAAAGATAGAGGTGAATCTATACGAATTTTGCAAGATTGTTGTAGTGCTGGTTTATGAAAATCTATGATATTGTCGACACAAATACATCAAAACTCCTATATCATTGACTTGTAGTAAGAGTGAATACAAACATCGATCTGAAAAATAGCGAGAGCTTCGCAATTCAACTTTCCCGTGTTATCTGAAACAATACCATAATGTTTTCTATATGGTTCGTTAAAAATTCCAATGAGGAATTGAATAGAGAAAAGATCAACACTACCCAATAAAATGAACACAAGTCACAAAAAACGTTGCAACAACAATTTCGAACTAGTTTTTTCAGAGCATATTTTTCTGCTGTTCAAAAATTTACTCAATGACAAGACGCGATAGCATCTTCTTTTTGGACCCACATTTAGAAATAGTGTTCAATGTAGATTCCGAATAAGTAATCTTGATTGTACCAAAGTATGTTTTAGGCAATGAAAAATAAAGCGATAGTTTTTCAGGAACTTTATCATCATCCGTTAGTTGCTATTTAAAAGAGCAAAATATTTTTTCTCTGCTTATCAGTCAGAGATAATGTATATTTCAAAAAACAAAAAGAAAATGAAAAAGAGTAAATGAGTATTAATAAATCATTCACTTATATGAGAAAAAACATAGAAACAAAAAACAGTAAACCGGCGAAAAAAAAAATAGTCAAACAAGCAATATGCTCAATAATTTTCATTCTCAACTATTGTCTAAATATATCCATATCTAACAAGGTTATTTTCATTTTACAAAGGAAATTTTGGAATAAAATAACTATTAAAATTCTTTCTAGATAAAGATAAATATACAAGAAAGAAATTAGAAACAAACAAAAAAAAAGAAAAATAATAGCTTTTTTTATGTAACATGTAAATTTTCAATGTTCAAAATAAGAATAAAATCCTTTTTATCACAGGCTGACACACACATACATCCATAAACAGAGGCAGACACATTATGCCAATAAATATTTTATTTCTGTAACGATCATCGTAGTTCTTCTATTGTCGTTATTCTTGCAAATAGGAGAGCAAATAGTAATAGAAAAAGTGTGTGTATCAATATAGATGATGAATTTTTAAAGTTCAAATCATAATAACGTGCTGTTGGATCTTCTAAATAAAACAAAAAAAAAAACAAATATATAGTTTTTTTTTAAATTTTTTTGTACAATGTTCTTTTATTGCTTACTTAATATTTGATATGAACTTATCGCATTGACTCCACCTTGACTACATTCGTAATCTATTTTTTCAAGAGTATCATTAAGAATTGTATGATTTATATAAATATGTATCAATAATGAATTACAAATATTAACATTTATATATTCTTTTTTATTTGTTCGACATCGATTGATAGTATTATCAACCATAAGAATTATACCTGATGGTTTAATATAATCTGTTTTAACTGATAAATAAATATTATCATATACTGATGGGTCAATTATTTGACAACGAATTTCAACATTTTCAGGTAAAAAACCATAACTTGGATAAACAGATAATTGAATAATAGGACTGTCACGGATTGAAACTGTTCGATCAATAAAAATCAATAAAAAACAAACTAAAATAAAATAAAATAAAAGATTATATTTATCTCTTTTGATATTTTTCCTAAAATTTGATTTTATTCATTTATTTTTCAAATGATACATTCAAGATATATATTTATTCTCAATCAATTCAAAATTATATTTGACTATGAAGATGATAACAAGTTATCATTTCAAATATTAATGAATTATTCTTTTGATATTCTTTTCTTTTTTTTTATTAGATAATTATGAAACTTAAGATAAGATTTCCGATATAAAAATATATTCTGTCTACTTATTTTAAAGTGGAAATTATATTCATTTAATATGTTTGTCATGGATCTTTTCTTTTTCTCATGATAATTTGATACAACAATCGAACGACCAAAATGAAATTAAGAGACTCTCATATTAATGTCCACTTATGTTTTTTTTTTTTAAACTAAGAAAATAATAATCTCAACTTACTATTGAATATAAATAGTAACAACGACTGCGACATTTTATCGTTGTCTTTTGCGATGGCGTCGAATTGTCAAATGATTAATCTTCTAGAAAAAAAACAAATGAAAAAAGAAGGCATCTTCTGTCTATGACATTTAGGCAAATGAATCGTCTCTATTTATATCCTTAAATGTTTTGTATATTCATACATATCATTAAGAAATCAACACATGCTGACTGACTTCTCACCGTATAAGACGCATTTTCTGGATAGGAAAAAATTCTATGCTTATGACTATTAATATACAGTAGATGTGAAACCCTTGAAAATGAAATATGTGTATTTTTTATAGTAAGAGCGAAGAATAATGAGTGTTCAAGTTCAAGCGTGCGATGAAGCAGAAGAAAAGATGAGATATACTTTGAACAAGCATAAACGAACATTAGACAATTTGTCAGTAAGAAAGGATTACATAAGGACATTTTTTTTTTCTTCTTCTTTCTTTTTAGTTGTATATATATATATATGTGTATGTATGTATGTATGTATGTATGTACTGTGCTTCTTTCACACTCACAATCTCATCCTAAAATGTTAACTAATGCAATAATCAAGTGGGAAGGGAACTTAGATGAAGGGCGAACGTGCACATTAAATTGAACGAGAAAAGAACGTAAAGCAAATGAAAGAAGAGAGGCAACAACACTAGATTGAAATGAATAAAAAATGAAAATGGAATCGTTCAAATTTAGATGAAAATAAATATCTATCTTATATATTAATATAAATTCACAATATTGTTCATTAATTTACAACTAAGTTACCTCATTTGGATAATCGTCGCTTCTGGGGAGATCAGTAATGGCGACAATTAATGAAATTATATAAATAACGCAGATGGACAAATAGAAGGTTAATCAATAGAACAACTAAACGAACGTCAGTACAACAGTATATTACTTATGAATAACATTTACCAGATGGTTAAATAATGTAAGTCGTCTATTATACAGTATAGGATCAACTGAGAAGAGATAAATAGATATTTATTCAAGGAAATATATAAATATTTAAAAAATTTATTCAATCAGTAACAAAAGAAAACAAAAAAAAAATAATGTCTAATTATTATCTACCTAATTAAATTCATAAAAAACGAGAAATGATAAAACACAATGTCATGTTCATAGATAAATACGATGACAGAAAAAAAAAACCAATCTATGAGTCTTTATGGATAGGTTGAAACAAAAAACCAATCAAAAGAAATGAGTGAAGCCCCTATGTTAAATTATAAATAGAGTAAAAGCAATCATATGTTGTACATATCCTATATAAATATAAAAATCTAATTGACAAAATATAAAATAAGTTTAGTATTCTATTCTTATTCAATTTTATATCAAGTGTAAATCAATTTACGCAACCTTCATTTACAGATAAGCTTATTAAATTGCAATTAGTATGTGTAATCAATTATCACTAGAATAATATTCAATAGGGTTTATACAATTTACAGTTCATTGATTACTTTTCAATTTTAAGTGCTTTTTTGTTCTCCAAAAAAAAAAAAAAAAAAAATTTTCGCTGCTGAGAATTTACTGTCCATTGATTACATAAAAAATTTATTCGAATTCGAATTATTCTTCTGTCTAGATTTACTTTTCGTTGATTATTTCGAAGAAGAAAAATGAACTAATGAATAATCATTGCGACAATCAATGTATTGTCGAAACAAAATTTCAATCAATTTTCCAAACGTAATACAACACCATATACTATTAGTTATTTGAAAGGTCGATATTCTCAAATAAAAATAAAATATGTAAATTCTCCACATCTCAACATTTACATTGCGATTGGTTTACTGTAAAAAAGAATAATCGTTAGCATCGATTACAAGAATGCGACATGATATGAAGTTTCGACTCCATAATGTTAGACACATAAAATCACAACAGATGAATATTTAATGAAATTGTAGCAACATTATGATGAAGGTCGTATTAATATTTCAGCGTTCTTGAAAGCTGTTGGATCAAGGTTTTTTCAACGTTTGTCAAAAAGTTAAACAATCATTTCTCTTTGTTTTTTATTATTCGTTCATATATGTATTGCAATTTTTTTTTTGTTTTAACAAAACATTAATTGTCACAATGATTACTCATTTGTTCATTTCAATTTTTTCGAAATAATCAATGGACAGTAAATTGTGTACACAATCTAATTAATGTAGGAAATTCATGATTGCCTATTTATTATTAAAATTATAACAATTGAATGATCGATGGTTCATCAATTGAGAATTCTTCTATCGATTATTATTTTCATTACTTTTCAAAACTTGTTTAGAGATTGAAATTACAAAGTATTCCATTCGATTTCTTGAAAAGTACAGAACCAACATTTTTGAGAGATAAAAGAAAAAAAAAGAATAATCGATCACTATTCTTATTATTTTGTCTTGAAATCTTTTCAGTGCGATGACTTTCTTAAGATCACATCCTATCATATCGGACAATGACAATGTGTTCCAGTCCAGAAGTAATAAATATGTGTCTGTATGTTCATTGTATCTTTTTCTTCCTTGTTTCATAGACAACAGATGGACTAATGAAGGAATAACAATTATATAGCAAACGAGGAATAGACCATTTGATGGATGTGCTTATATTGTTTATCATGTTATTTAATCTTTTGCATTCAGTATTTTATCCAGATTTTTTCTTTCTGAGGGATGATTTAAAACTGTGGAAGGCACATATTTATTTTTTGCAGCGCAGGTATATAGTACGTGGTACAATAACCACAAATTCCGGAAGGACGAAATCGATCTTTGGAGGGATGCTGTGTCCTTTGTTCTCATGTTGGATAAAAACATCGCTTCGTTTTGTAGCAAGTAATGAAACGACGATGGAGATCTGCATTACATCATTAAAACGTGAACAATTATAAGAAGTTATTCAAAGACATAGTGCCAGTTGTAAAACAATAGCCGAAAATGTTATTGAAAATAGTGCCAGGAATCGTGTGTATCTGCCAAGTAAATAAGTAGCATTAATAAACATTAAAACTGTCGCTAGGGAAGTATTAAATTATTTTTCTGATTGTATGATGAATAGTCATCTACTGATGTAAATGAAATTAAAAGTCGCTACATCTGTTGACTTGTCAATGGATATTATAATAGACAGAGATTCAGAGCATCAAGTCATGTTAGAAAAAGTATTCTTGATCAATTGTTATAATTGAACAAGATCAATGGCAAAATCAAACTAGACAAATTATTTGCAACGCTCTCAATATATATAATGAATATATTGATGCATTAGAATCATTTGCCAAAATGATATATTGAATGTAAATCTAAATCATTTGGGAAAGATAGGTGACATCATCCAGAGCGTACTAAACGGTGCGCAAAAACAAAAGACTTCGATATCATCAGAAGTCTAATACTAACGAAAAAAGTTTATCGATCTTATCAAAGATAAATTATAAAAACTCCTGAAAGGAATATCAGAACTGATTAAATAACTTAAAAAAGAATAAAACATTGATCGAGAAGCTAATAAAATTATTTTCAACTAGAAGAAGTCATTGAATCGACATAGATTTTTGGAAGATCAAAACGAAAATATAATTGAACCAATGATAGTCGATGAACAAATCGTTGATTAATCTTGTGATCGACTTTTTTTATTCACATCTTGAGCGATACTTATATAAAGATTATCAAGTTATTAATTGATCAACTAATGTCATTCATAGGAAAAATGTTCGTCTGCTCACTTAAGAATTATGTAATTGGAGGAGTGCTGTTAATTGTTTCACAAAAAAGTACAAGAAAATTTTGAGAAAAATCACAAAACAATGAAAGCCACAAAAGATACTGGTGTTCAACTCTATGTTAGCTTTATTTTGAATGAGAATGTGGAATGAATATCAGTGAGGATCTTTTTTTATCGATACCCACACTCATCTTCAAACAGATACACAACTAAAAGTAGCATATTTATGTATTTCTTAAAAGTATAATCAAGGTCCATAAGAGTATGATAGTCTGAACCAATTTGCTTAATGTATCGAAATTGAGATAGAAGCGACCTTCTTTATGTTCTTGTCTATCTTGCGGTGTTAAACGCTGATCAATAGTTGTTTGTAATGATTCATTTCTCTCAAATGATCGATTAATCAGTTGGTGCAAAGCCTCAATATCCCTGGAATGTTGCTGCTGCTGATTGACAAGAAGTTGTGTTAATTGGTCAACACGTTGTAAAAGTTGCTCTGAAATATGATAATTTCGCTCTTGCTCTTGTTGTTTACGAGTAATTTGTGCTAATTGTTTGTTTTGGTTAGAAAATTGTTGTTGTTCTTGTTGAGTGCGAACAATTGATATCAATTCGTCATTTTGATTGAAATGACGTTGTAAAAGATGAGCATTATTTTGGTCTTGCCTTTGTTGAAAACGGATAAATGCTGCTAATCGTTCGTTTTGATCGAGAAGGTATTGTTGAGTATTAATATAATTTTCTTGTTGAATCCGAATATTTTCTGCTAATCGTTCGTTACATTGGAGAAGGTGTTGTATGAGATGATCATTGTCATTTTCTTGTTGTTGCTCGTCATCAATAACACTAGACTGATTGTTTTGAAACGATTGCAAAGTTTCAGGAGAAAATTCTTGAATAAGTTTATATAGAATTTTTCTAAAATCGTTTTCATTGAGTTTATCCCGACGAAGATGACTTGTTTGAATCGATAGAATATGCTCAGAAATGATGGTATTAAAACGATCATAGAAGTTCATATCATTGAAAGGTGATGAACTAATTGTTGTTAGCGGACTCATTCCATTGATATTTGCTTGTGTAGATAAATTAGCTTCTGTATTCAACAGAATGAAAAAAAAAATTGTATGGAAATCGACAGGAAAAAGGTATCATTTACCTGATCTCATGCCTAATTTTCTTTCAATACAATTGATTTCATTGATCAATTGCTCCAATGATTCATCAAATTTATCTTCGTTGAAAAATTCAATGTGTTTTAGATCGCCTTTAATGATACCGAGACCACCGAGGGGACGAAATCCCTCTTCCATAATACATGGAATTACGGAAATTCTTTTTTCAGTTGCGTATTTAGCTTCTAAAAATAGATTTTATGATTATTACAATGAAAGTTAGCAAACAATAATAAATCACCCTTTATACAATAGTCACTATTTGAGTATCCATTATTCAAACACAAAAGAAGAATATAAGAATTATCAACTGCTTCACCCATTCCATCAAGTATGCTACCATGTAGATTTACTTTATCGAACCATACATTATAATGTTTTGCCTATTTATGGCGATTAACAGACATATTTCGAACGATTTATTTGTTTATATATTTCTTTTGATTTACCTTTAGATCATTATAGATTTTCAAGCAAACATCTGATGCTGTGGCTTGATTATAGCTTATCATAATGTGCTTTTGGTTTGGGAATTGCTTTTGACTATTTTCTTCAGTTATGGCACTTGTTTGAGATTCTAAAATATATGCAACAGAACAATGAAAATGACTTTTATGTAAATTGCATTGTTTGCATACGTGTTGTTAGTGTATTATGTGGTTCAGTACCACCATTATCCGTTGTTGCACTGTTGTCTGAGATATTGTTGATAATAGTAGGAAGAACAGCTTGATCAATTGGATTCGAGCGTGATAGAGTTTCATCTGCTTTCAGTTCAAGGATTTTATTCACAGTCGAATGCCCTTGGTTGAGAAGAGCGTCTAAACAGTCAAGAAAATTGAATAAATCACTTTTTAATTAAGTTTTCTCACTTGTTTCGTCATCAACAGATATAGACACCTGATAATCATTATCACTTGGTTGTTCAATAGGGCTAAAAGTGTTCGCCGGTAATAGATTGTCATTAGAAGAGTCATTGATAACACCTACAAGCAACATTTAATAAGATGAGTGTCATAGAAAGTGACTTACTGCTATTCGATTGAACATTTACATTTGTACTACTTGCGACATCTTCCACTTCCTATTTAAGCATAATTCATTCATTGATTATTTATTGTAAATTATTGATGCTTAATCATACCTGGTGTCTCTCGGAAGCAGATGATTGAACACTTTCTGATGCCAGATCTTCTTCTGTGTTCGAAGGAAGTAAAGTTGACGACGATGATGAAGACATATTTTCTCACTAAAAATAAAGAAGTAACATATACGCTGTCACATATCAATAAAAATAAAAAGGTAAACGAATAAAAAACATGGCTTATATTCAAAAAAGCTTTTGTCGTTCTATTGATTTTTCGTCAACTGAAGTGCTTTTATTTTAACTGTGTCATTTGTCAACACGTTAGCGACGTCATTGGCGTGAATGAAGCAGACTATTCATTCTAGAAGAATTTTATCAGCAGAATGTCTACACATATTGCTTTTTCCCATAAGCGAGAGTTATACGCAAATTTTAAAAAAAGGAAATTACCCAAACTACTATAAATTTTTATAGGTCATACAGAATCAACAAAACATTAAATACAGAAATTTATTGGAAATTTCCAGCACTTACCAAGATACTAAACGTAAATTTCCAAGTATTTGCATAATTATTCATCTGCCACAAGGAAATTTCTAGGTGGTTTCTGAGATAACAAATATCTACAGAGAAAATTATTAGAAAGTTACAGTAAAATATGAAAAATACTAACAACCAACTAATCTATATCAGAGAAATCACGGTAATTCTCCACCAAATCAAAACGAATTTCTCAGGCAATTTTGTAGCATACTAAAACATGAAAAGGAATGTATATAGATCAACAAATAAATCTATACAAATAAAAAAGCCCTATCCTATAAGAGTATTAGAATTTTCAGAATTGTCGATAATTACTAGTAAATTGGGTGCGAGTGTATATAGATTAAAAGTAAAGAAATTAAACATATCTTTTTCGATTATCTGAAATTTACAATGGCCACCATTACAATCGGATTAATGAAATACAATATCTTCTGCATGTAGAAATTTCTCTAACGACTTTTTTGATACCATTTTTAGAATATCTCCGTCAAAAATGTCTTCATGATGATATAATGGTTTACTGAACACATACATAAAAATAGCATTGATTAATGACTTTTATGATTCTTCCTAAATAACTCAAGCATTGACATATGAGTAAATAGGCTCCATCACTTCTACGATAGCATATCATGATAAATCTCAAGAATAGTACAGTCAATGTCCCTAATAACAACACTAAAAAAATTTTCTTCCTTGTTCGACTCGGTTCTCAGCTATTTTACACTCGACTGAAAATACTTTTATATATGCATAATCTATGGAGTTTCCTCTTTCAAATGGTATAACAGCGGTCTTTCTCTGAAATGTAATGGCGGAGAAATCAGCGGTCTACGATAACGAACTGCTACTGTTGTTATTAGGGACAGTTTCCCTAATAACAACACTCAGCTATTTTTTGTCCCTAGTAACAACACTTAAGCAAAATTTAAGCCAAATCAGACTTTTTAAGAGAAAAAACCTTTTTCACGCGTTTTCTTTGAAAAACAAGCAGAGACTCCGCTGACAACTTTGTAGAGCATGTCAAACTCTATCTAAATCTAAAGGTTCATGAGAAAAAAAATTTCCTTTAATGAGATACAAAATCTAAAAGGAACATGTCTAACAGTGTCCAAAAAATAGGTGACCCTAATAACAACACCAAGCTAATTTTTGTCCCTAATAACAACACCTCCACCGAAATTGGTGTATGAGTGTGCATAAAACAAAAACTAATTTCCATTTTAATAGCTTGATGGATTGTGATCGTTTTTCACAACTTTATTTCATTTTTCATGATAGGTCAATTTTTTGTGCCTGGGGTACCCCTCAGGTATTCGAAAAAATATTTTTGTTCTCGTTTGAGTTCTCACATTTATAAATCGATAGAACTCAGTGTTCTGATTACGAATGTTATGTTATTTTTCAAAATTCATCGAGTAATAAGAAAAATCTAGACCATTCAAGACAGGCATAAAAATCAGTTTTTGGCTTATAAGACCATTATTATCCGTCTAAAACACGTTGGAAATAGGCTCATTCGACGCAGAAGTTTTTTCTCTATCAGAATATATATAAGGCTTTAGGAAACAATTATGTTTTTCAATCGATAATTATTGAATACCGAGCCCAATGGTGCTCTATAGTCCCCAACAGTGTTTTTTAACCTTTTTTTTATTCTTAAATTTCAAGTCGAAAATAGTTTTACGAGAAAGAGCTCATTGAATTATGTTTGTGGTAAAAATATCTCGATGATGTACCTGAGTAAACTATATTCCCACAAGCTGGAAAAAATCATAGTAAATGACCATAGAGATCCATTGGACCCGGTATTCGATAATTATCGATTGAAAAACATAATTGTTTCCTAAAGCCTTATATATATTCTGATAGAGAAAAAACTTCTGCGTCGAATGAGCCTATTTCCAACGTGTTTTAGACGGATAATAATGGTCTTATAAGCCAAAAACTGATTTTTATGCCTGTCTTGAATGGTCTAGATTTTTCTTATTACTCGATGAATTTTGAAAAATAACATAACATTCGTAATCAGAACACTGAGTTCTATCGATTTATAAATGTGAGAACTCAAACGAGAACAAAAATATTTTTTCGAATACCTGAGGGGTACCCCAGGCACAAAAAATTGACCTATCATGAAAAATGAAATAAAGTTGTGAAAAACGATCACAATCCATCAAGCTATTAAAATGGAAATTAGTTTTTGTTTTATGCACACTCATACACCAATTTCGGTGGAGGTGTTGTTATTAGGGACAAAAATTAGCTTGGTGTTGTTATTAGGGTCACCTATTTTTTGGACACTGTTAGACATGTTCCTTTTAGATTTTGTATCTCATTAAAGGAAATTTTTTTCCTCATGAACCTTTAGATTTAGATAGAGTTTGACATGCTCTACAAAGTTGTCAGCGGAGTCTCTGCTTGTTTTTCAAAGAAAACGCGTGAAAAAAAGTTTTTTCTCTTAAAAAGTCTGATTTGGCTTAAATTTTGCTTAAGTGTTGTTACTAGGGACAAAAAATAGCTGAGTGTTGTTATTAGGGAAACTGTCCCTAATAACAACAGTAGCAGTTCGTTATCGTAGACCGCTGATTTCTCCGCCATTACATTTCAGAGAAAGACCGCTGTTATACCATTTGAAAGAGGAAACTCCATAGATTATGCATATATAAAAGTATTTTCAGTCGAGTGTAAAATAGCTGAGAACCGAGTCGAACAAGGAAGAAAATTTTTTTAGTGTTGTTATTAGGGAGATTGACTGTACCAGTCTTTCACTTCAACAAAGATCTTATAATTATCGAAAAATGGTTTAATCTTTGATCGATATTCATAATGATTAAATAAGTTTATTATTTGATTCATTTTTTGACAAAAAAATCTGTGTCAAAGAAAATGACAGCTTATTGAGGATAACTCTTTACGATTATATACTCGAGTTTGATATAATGCGGATGGGTAGGTCTGGGGGTGAGGTATGGGTGTTGCAATTCTTTTTATTGCCATCCGCACTCACATCCTCACCAACACACCCATAGCCACACTCTATCCACACCGATACCCACAGCCACACCCGCCCAGACCATCTACAGCTAAATCCACTCAGACCAGCTGCAGTCACGCCTACCCAGGCTAGTCACAGCCACACCCACACTATCGTGCGATTGAGATCTGCATAAGGGATGCTCGAAAGAGAGCTAAGTTTACTTTTGTCGAAACTGGTGTTAACTTCACGCTTTATTCTCTTCCAGAAGAAGTTATGTTACCGTTTAATTTTGAAAAAAGCTTCATGTAGAAGTAAAACGGATTAATACATTCTGAAACAAGATTGTACAAATCCGACGACATAAGAAACTTGTTTTAATTATTGACAGAGAATTGAAATTATACTTGAAAATATTTTAATAAATCACAATTAATCTTTCCCATTTAATTCGACTTCTTAGCTCAGAAATTGGTTCATTATCATTCAATTTGGTGAACTAATAATAGCAATATGTAATATACATTCATAGAATGTTAATGAATTCCGTTTAAAGGCTATTGATGAAGTAACTTTGATTTTTGAATGCGAAAACTAAACACAAATAATCAAATTTGTATCATTATATTCAAATAGAACATAACAGCGAACTCAATTTCTTAAACAGCTGAAGAAATTCTACACAGACAGCCTAACGTATTATACTACTAAGGAGAACATTAATTTATCATTATCTTTTCATTTGCGAATTTATTTATTTGATAAAAAGTGTTAGGAAGGAATGGTCAGGCAAAAAAAAAATATCCAATCTCGAATTAATCGTAAGGAATTATAGGAATGGGTCGTATTATGTTTTGAAAGAAAAACAAAACCAAAACGTGGCAAATATATAATGGTTCATAATTGTTATTGTTTCATTAATGCAATTCGATTCGATAAAAATCGAAGAGGATTCTGAAATCATTACGTGTTTTGGGATGATCTCGGTGTTCTATATGCAAGTGGTGGTAGACCATGTCTAGTCAGGAGATCGAACATAGGCGATTGTGGAGAACCCAGACCACCTGTATTTGCATTCATAGAGTTTTGACGCGAATCGCTTGGTACCTTCGTAAATTCACGAACTATGTTCAGATCGGAAATGTATACTAAACGCATACTTGAGTGTAAGCATTCGGCTGCTTGTGATAGACATTCGGAGTGAAATGAATGGGAGATTGTTGGAAACCGTATTCTTGATTTGATGTTCTATATGGTGAATATGTCGCGTAAGCATGGAACCAGTCTAAAAAAATCACAAAGATTTAGCGTAATTCAATATAGATGAAGTTAGATTGAAATCACCTTCATCGATTTTTCTGTTTTGAGTTTGTTTCTGCTCGTCGATTGTGAGAACTCTTCGTGGAGCTGCAAGCGCATAAGGCTCCCACACCAACTTCTGGTTTGTATTAGGACTATTTCGCCATTCATTGAGATTTTGGCCATATGGTCCAATTCTATTGTACATTGGCATATTCCCATTGGAATTATAGTTGAAGCGATTGGAATTCATTCAAAAAGAGATCTACAAATGAGAGTAAAAATAAATTTTTCATCATGTTTTGATTTATCAATCAGTTTATTATTGTACCTCACCAAAAATTGATCTTTCAATACTCAATACCTATCAAACAGTTTAGTAGTTTAACTGGAAAATAATAGACTGGAAATAGGACATTTGTACAGTATTGCTTTTCTCCCATTATTTACAGACAAATGCGTTATCTAAAGCTAGTTCAGATTCGTCAGAATATGTAATTTTTCATCCTTTCAAATAATCATGTTGCGATAGAGCATAATTAAGCTGAGTAATTTGAAAAAGTAAATCATATTAGTCTATTTTCCAAGCATGCATTGAGATTATGGGAATTCGATTGATTACGTAGTTATAAATCTTATTAACAGTTACATGTCATTCGATGGGATAATAGAATAATATCCTTATTCACTATTTAGATGAACATAAAACATATATATTCTCCAATGGTCACTTACTACAACTTAGTCTTCTACATGATTATTAAGTCTGCTTGTAATAAGGTCGTTACAATTATGTGTCAACTTTTAGTAAATAAAAAAAAAGTAGTCTAACGCGAATTTGTACCATTCATCACTTACCTATAATGAAGACAAATTTAACTCGTTTATCCCACAAAGAAACCCTGAGCATTAAAAATAAGTTTTACTCACTGTCCAATAGATCTCGTTTAAATACGAAAAAAATGTCTAATCATGTTGTCTTATCTTTGAGCCTCATTTACGCCTTTAGAGATATAAGAGATATAATTATCTGCTCATGACAAGAACACATGAAATACAGCATGAATTTTGTTGAAGATACTGTCACTATCAACAGAAGTTGTGTAAAATGTTCTAAAGTTTCCAGGGTGAATAGATCTTCGCTAATGAAGAAAATCTTATCGTTCCCATTTTTTCGACTGACTATTTCCAATCCAACTAAAACTTTTTTGCCAGTACTCGACATTGTTTGAAAGAGATCGTTGTTTTTTGCTTTGCTTTTATCTTCTTTTCTGAGAATGAAAATGTCAAAATACTGGCATCATCATAAAAACAAGGTTCGTTTTGTGGCACGCTCTTATATTATAAGGTTCACTAAAACCAACCGTTGAATATTTTTTTTGAAAGAAACAAAACCATTCCTGGTAAACAGTGTCTAATCTCTGTGAAAAAAATGTTTCAACTCTTTCTGTCTTATCGTAGCAGAGAATCGGGTGCGATGCCGCACCTTTTCTCAGACAATTCAAATTCGAAAAAAATGCAAAACACTGAAATGCAGTGTACCGTAAGTATTAGGCTTTTATTTTTCTAATGAAATGGACCCAAAAGTTAACTAAATTCAGAGATGCGAGAAAGCTGTGGTTGATCCTCGAAGTATCTTTGAAATGCAAAACCTTCATTCTTACAATTGGAGTTACGTATATAATTTAAGAGTCATATGGGGATTTTTCTGCTAGAAATGCTAAAAATTGACGGTAATAACACTACTAACAAAATACAAGACTCCTCATCTTTTTCGGCATTTGATAGAAGACACTCGTGGGATGTACTAGTAATGAAAAAAACCGATGTCGAATAAGCTGAGTTTTGAGTCCAAAAAGGTAATGGGTATCTTTAAGGAAACATAGTGTGATTGTCGAAAAAAAATTTTCATAATCAATATCAGATTGACAAGATCATTCAGAACTAATATTGTAACTATCAGTTCACTGATGCTTCAAATCTAGCTTCTTGCTTAAATGATTTTTAAGTACAAAAAGTCTTACATAACTTATTCATACTCGAACAATATCGAAACAAGAGTCCAAGATATGTATGAAGAAAAAAAAGATACCATCACTTTAGTTGATTTTGTGTTCAAGAACTTTCAGAAAATATTTGATATTCGTTTTGTCAAGGAAGAGATTTGTTAAAGTTTTTCTCTTGTTATGCAGAATTCGTCGTTGTTAAGGAGGCAACTACACGAGCATGCAGCAGAACAGAATTGATCAACATCAAGGTCTTTTTTTCAATACTGATGGAATCAGGTAGGTAGAATATTACATTTTCTTTTCTCTCTGATTCGATTTGCTGTGTCTGTCTTTTTTCAGCTGCTGCGAAGTATTTTTGTGACTATTTACATCAATCGCTTTTTGTTTTTTCGTCATTGTTGAAAATGATTGTAATTGCTCTCACTTTCTTCACATGGCAAACACCTCATGTAAAATTGTCATTGTTTTTCATGGCAATAGAACAGCGTTGCTCGCCAGTGTTCGAATTCTATTTACTTTACAAGCATCAACAACAGTCTCTCTCTCTCTCTCTCCCTCTCTTTTCTCTCTTTTTTATTTCTTAGTGCATATTATTTTTTTCTAGAAACTGTCTCTACAAAATAGTATATTTCATTTAACTGAAATAAATTTTGATCAGTTTAAAAAAATAGGATGTATTCGTTTTCTACAATCATCATCACTACTCTCTCCAATGACTTATTATCAAATTCTGTGTGACATTTATTAAGACGATAGTGCTTTAGTTGTGATTTTATCTAATTGATTCACTTGCACCGATTTATTCTGCATGAACTAGGCGAGAAGATTTAGATCTGAACTATTGAAGATTCACGGATCGATAGATATTAAGTATAGTGAATTTCGATTAAATTGCTTTTGTGTTATGAATCATTCTATGTACGGCGCAACCTATTCTATTCAATCGATGGTCACAAATTTGCATTATTTTTTAATATTATTTAGAAAAATATCTTTGATGAATAACTAAGCAAGTCTCGTGTTTACAATACTTTTTTTTCGGCAAGCGGTCATTCAAAAGTCATGCAATTGGCTATAGGCTCATTTCGGATCTCTGCTTCATCCATATGATCAGTATTGATAATCTTGAGACACCTTTCTATGACAACTTGATACTGTTTGTATCGTCTTCCAATAGTTATATTGTGCAGAAAAACTAGAAAATGTGTCATTTTTTTTTCTTCGTTCAAATATAGTGTTATTTGTCCTATTTGTTTACGAAAGAACCATCCTCGATTCTACACAAAACAATCTGAATAGGATCTTTTCTATGAAGCTATCGGTAGGGTCTACTCAACTTTTGTATTCCGCTGTTCTCAATGCCACTCTTTCTGATATTGTTTCCGTCATTATATGTACAAACCTGTAAAACAAAATTCCAACGATCACACACATTTTTTGCTTGAATTATATATAGAACCTGCATATTTCACGACAGTTGTTATTAACAGAAATGTCTTCTCATTTTTAGAAATCTTATCTAATGATACCAAGTGAAAGAACATATATTTTAGTTTTCAGTTTTCTCTTTGCAAATATCTCTTCTTTCTTGAATGACATCTTGCAAATCTAAAGAAAAAAAGAATGTTATGGGCAATACTTTCTATTTATGTACGTCTTAACTCGATAGTTTTTGTGGATATGATTGGTATTTCAGACTGATCATTTGCAAATTTTTAGCCTCTCTTACTCTTGACATTCACAAGACACAGACTTGATATATTTTTACAATTCATTCTTTTAAACTAGAGAAAACAATGATTCTTAACAGTATGCGAGTGGATCTTCTCTTAACTCAAACTACCAACACCCCACACATTGGATAGCATGTCATTCCGTATCAAAACCTGAAAAATATGACATGGGTCGTTCACTTAAAGGTGTCTTCTCTACATATGAGACTGAAGCTCAGTACGTCTCGTAGCAATTGTGAAGTGTGCTGTCCATGTTACGATGGTAATGTTTGACGACACCCAGTCACTTGATTCAGCTAATTGTATTGGCATCGATTTGTAGACAATTATGAAGACATTTTGAATTATTCCGCAATAGATCATCGAAACATCTAGGAAATAACCAAAATGAAGGCGACATCATACTATTTTTCATTTCGTTTCAATCCTGTTTGACAACGATCATCGTCTACGCACTTCTCTGTCCATGTGGCAAAGTAGACTACGTCAGGAAAACCAAGATGATATCCTATCAACCTGTAGCAGTTATATACATCAATTGTTGTACATTGAAAAAAATAGCCAATGATCTATGCTTGTGAGGATGACTTTTTCTGTGTCTGTATAATTGATTATCGTGATCATGAAAATCGCATATTAAATGAATTTTTCCTGTTTAATGAAGTAACTCGCCGTGGTATGATTGGCATAATCATTCGAGTACATATTTTCAAGTTGTCAGACCGAGTATCGATAACATAGGATCTGTCATGCGCCATTGATCTACTATAGAATTCGATTGTATAGCTATTCGGCAAAGTTTTCCATGGTATTAGAAATTTTCCTCGATTTTGAATCCTCAATATTGATCATTTATGCCGATGATTAATGATGAGGTAGAGAAACGCAAGACGTTTATTTGATATCCAACGATCATCACGAATATTGTTTTTTGAATTGACTACAATCTCAAAAAATTTGAATACTTTCTAGCATATGACGGTTCCAATATGCCAAATATGGATACCGATTTATTCCATGCTACGATCGCCGGTGGCCATAAGTGATCGATGTCTATCGAAAAATTTCATCTTCGATCTATAAAGTGATCGTGTCTCTCACTTTGTTTTCTAGTGCCTGAATATGCTTCATATGAATTGCACCGTATCGTCGAAATCTTTTAGACATAGGTGTGTAAATTCTTGAAATTATCACTCATACTCATACTCACATTCACACTCATCTATATCCATACCCGCAACTTCTGTTCTATTGAAAAAAGCACTTATAATCATTTAAATAGATTTTCATTTGAACAAGAAAAAAATTATAAGAGTTCATTCGATCATTTTTTTTTTTCATAGTTAATAAGAGAATTATATCATCCTTTTCGCACCAAGTACATAAGAACAATTCGGACAATAATGTACCGTATCCTAAAATAAGAAGTCAATTTACACAAATAAAATAAAATAAAATCGATCAGACTTTGGCGGAATCAATGCAAAATGGAATTAGACAACAGCCGAGCACACAACCAAAGACTACTAGACCACCACAGAGAAGCCAAGTAAATAAACCCGTTGTTTTTTCTGCACGTGTCACTATGTGCGCACCACATCGAGGACAAACACATTGTACTGGATATTCGGAAAGATAAACCATCGGTGTTCCAACAAATAGCGGTTGTTGTTGTGTTGGATATCCGGTTGGTGGTGCATTTTGATTCGGATAAGGAGTAGTTTTTTCTTCTGGCGTACCGTAGAATAAGACATAAATAAAAATTTGTAATAACGAGAAAAACAAAAATTCGTATCACGTACCGTAAGGAGGTGGTGCCGTTGCTGCCGTATTCATGGTAACGTCCTGGTTGTCAAGATGATTTTATCTGAAAAATGAATTTGGTTCAAACAAATTTTTTTGTCTCTTTTCATGTCCTCACTGGAAAAAATGAAATGCTGATTGTCGATAAAACTCGTTGTTAAAAGAGAACGATGATCAATGTTTTCTATAAATAAGTCGCTATGATGACTGCAGCAGAAACGAAAAAATATTATTTCTTATAGAATAATTGTGGATCAACGTCATTGATATTGAAATGAACTGCATTCATTCGATTTCTTTATCGAAGACTGAATTGAAGTGCTTCTCAAACAAATATAAAAAGGAAAAAAAAGTAATTTAATATGCTGCATATGCACGATAGAGAATGCATGAATGCCTAACACGCATGTTGTGTTAATTCTTCGATACATACAAGCAATGAATGACGTATTTCTTGTTAATTCTCGTCCATGGTAAGCGTTTATACAAAACACAAGAAAAGAAAAAAGAAATATTTCTTGGCATGATTTGTATTATTAAGCAAAATGCTTTGAAGAAAAGATTGAAAATTTGAAAAGACTACAAGCAGACAACAAATTGTAGAAATTCTTATTATGGAAAAGACAACGAGGACTGTAGTATAGAAGACATAGAAAGAATTTCATATGGATGACCATAAATAAAATGAGTAGACGAAATTTTAGATCTAATAATCGGTAGTCATGACGAGAACAACAGTGAAGAAGAGAAATTTGTAGATAATATTAGTATTTAGTCATTATCGAATCGTTTAAATAAACCAGTGAAAACAAAGACAAACAAATATCGCAGAAAGAATGTGAAACAAAAAACAACACAATCGAGGATAATGAAGATAAGTTAATAAACAAAATCCATACGGACACAGTCCGTATAAAGTTGAGATGACAATGTAAATACTATGGTTGCATAGAGAACAGATTGATCGTCTCCACCTTTGCATACATCGAGAAATCTATAGAACCAACAGAGTTATCTCTTCGAAAACTATTTTGAACTACCAATAAAGATCTTGGCTCAGAGGGTGTGGATGTGGGGCAAGAGAATATCCGCACCCATATCTCACACTCATACAACCATACCTCAAACCCACACATTCACACTCACATCCGCAACACCCCACCCACACCCACACCCACACCCTTCTTTATCGTCATCTTCCAGATAACTCTCAAACTACTTCTGCAGCATGCACAATCGATTGGTGAAAGATCTTTCATCATCAGTTTTGATAGACAAGTATGTTGATAATGAAATACCTTTTTGAATACTAAAATCTTCATAAAGATAATGGCGAAGTGTGAAAAGTGACATTTCTAATTCAATGTCTATTTATTATTTGGTTTTAATTAATCGTAGTGCTGAATCTTTAGTAACTAAAATAGTAATTTTAGTCGGACTCGTACACAAAAGTAATATTATCGTGTCGATTTCAAAATATATTGGAATCGTGTATCTTTTATTCTGAAATTAAATAAATTAGTTTCCACTATGTACCTATGATTTTTATAAATAAGATTTTGAGATTATCGGACAAGTTGATTTGAATCTTATTAGTTGTTTCATTCAACTGAGCAAGTTTATTTTACTATCACTTTTCCATCGAATGAATACATTAAGTTATTCATATTAATGCCAAACACGACATAGACACGATGCCGAAGAAACATTGCACGACTCCTGAATGTAGTTATACTTCGAAAGACATGCTTATGGAAAGCCTAGAAAACGTGGTAATATACGTTTTTGATTTCAAAATACGTGACAATGCAAAAAATGTTGCTTTAGAAACATATAATGTGAAAAAAAACCTTGTCCGATTCCATTTCAAAAACAACATTTTCATCAATCGGATCGATACATGTTTTTTAGTATGAAACGTATCTGATTGCTTTTAACACCCACTGTTTGAGTGTGTCGCATTCATAAAAAACAATATTGACAATTTTCTTGGTTGAGAATTTTTTTAACATACTTAAAGACGATGAAAAAATTTACAAACAGGACAAAGAAAGGAAACATCATACAGACTTTTCTAAATTCCAAATAATGATAGATGAAATTATTTGCAGAAATCTTTTGTAATTTGTCAATGGATTCTAATAAAACTGTTAAATAATATTGTTTAAATAACATAATTAATATTGATTTGAGTACAATGATTAAGACTCGATAGAAAGTTACAAAGATAAATTTCTTTCGAATAACAGACAGTACATCTATCGTATTGAGAAGAAATCGTTTTCAGTCTTATGTGTTGCTCATGCTTACCCAGTTATGTGTATTGTTCCTACTTATGACATAAAAAACAACGTGATGATCTATTTCAATTCTACGCTACCATCCTGAGAAGAGTTATGCATTGTTTTCAATCGCCAAATACCTTTTCTGCGAATGTATGTGGTGAAATTTCTTTAGAAAATAGATGTTTTAAGTATTGGAATAGATATTTAGCTGCGCTATCAGATTCCATTGATAGTGAACTCTTATTAAAAATTATTGGACATATATCTATTCCTGAAAAAATGTGCAGAATGATGTGTTTCTCAGTGCTCTGCGCTTGCTCGGTAATTAATTATGACATGTTAGATTTGTGTATTTTGAGAAATTTTCCTGATATATTTTAATTTCAGATCAACAAAGCCTATTTATGTATTTCAGTGTCCTACTCAGGCTATATTGATTTCAACTGATCAATTGCTTTTGAATCCGAACTCTGCTTGAGGCTAAAATGCTAGTAAAATACCTATAACTTTGAACAAAAGGTTCAAGAAGAGTTATCTTTACGAGTTTTTCATATCTGACTGGAGTCTATCTTATGCACAGAGTTCGAATCTAAAAGCGATTGGACAGTTGAAAACATTCCCGTGTAAGTAAATTCTTTTTTTTTTTGGTTTGCTATTGTCTTTCCGTTTTTCTATATGTGTACTATTAAGGTCTGATCGTCATCGGTAATCGGAAAGAATAAAAAAATAAATAAACCATATAACTAATAACTATTTGCCATAGTTTATATACATAGTATAATTAATTTTTCACTTATTCTAGTTTTTAGATAAAAATTACCAGCCATGTGACAGTCATTATATTCAAAAACAATAGATGTTATGACTATGCATGACAACGTTCTAAACCAATTATTAATTAGAATATTGCTCTTCACTCGATAAACGAATCATGTTTTCCAATAAGAAGTGCAATGCTGAATGGTTACCAGCCATGAAGAACGAAATATTGGACAAGGAATTTTTTTTGCTTTTGCATTTAAGCAGGACTTGATGAACCCATTGTGAAACGGAGTAAATCTTAATGTGTATAATGTGTTTGAAATTATTAACTTAGCTGATCAAAGCAAGTGCCTAATTTACTCTTCGCATTCGAAAATCGACTTTTTTTTTCGGAAAAATAAACTATGAATAATTGAATCTTTTTTCCTACATATTTTTATTTACAAAACTCTTTTTTTTTCTGGACGTAAATGGACGGATAGGATGAACAAAAGTGAATAACTGATAAAAAAATGAAAATAAAAATAAAGAAATATGATATGTTCAAAATGGTTTCGAAAATATTGTTATTTTTTTTTTCTTATTTAATTAGCTCGATTTCCTGTAATCAGTGGTTCATATCGTGTTTTTATTGGTTCACCAATTAATCTCACTTGAGCATTATTATCAATGCCTACATCACGTAATGAACGTTCTCTCATTAAGTTTAATTCTTGTCCACGATAATAAAGTTTTTGATTCTGAATTGGAATAGTTGTTATACGTTGTAATTCTTCCATTAAATCCATAATACGTACATTATTTACGCTACGTAAAATAAGTACATGTCGATCAGAACCTTAGATTAGAAAATAGATAATTTAATTTTCTTTTGAAATAGAAAAGAAAAAGGAGAATCGTTTTTTTTTAATAATCATACCATGAAATACTTCAATTTTGAGTACTTCCTGATTGCCAGAATTTGGCATCGTTTCGTTTCCACTGATGTTGTTGAAATCCATTCGCCTTTTAAATCACGAGAGCCAACAACTAATATTTTCGACTATTGTTCAACATTCACACGCACACATTTCTCACTTTTCTCTTACCTTGATGACATATCACTAGTACGTGGTGTTCGAGATCCATCGTTAGAATATGATAATGGTACTGGTTGTCTTGGAGAATAATATTCGTTTGATGGTTGTTGAGTTTGGGGAGCAAAATTTTTATACCAAAGTGAAACAAATGAATTACTAACAATTCCAATTGCATCAAGTGAAATATCAGGTGGAAATTGTGCTAATGACATTCCATTATATGAAACATTTTGTTCGAGTAGTGGAATATTAAAACGTTGTTGTAATTCAACTTGTAAATCATAAACTGTTATTGGATGTGGTCGACCAATAATAAGACCTTCAACATGATCACCAAAACCAATTTGTAAATTGATTACATAAGTAGCAGCAACAGGACCCGATATATTTGGACTAGTCAATTGTTGATAATAGTTAGTGCTAAAAAAAGGTTTAGTTAGTCGACAGCATAGAGCAGGTAAATGAAAGGTTGATATTTATTTAAAAAAATAAAAAATAAAATCAATGGAATAAAAATATATTTAATGTTTTTAAATTGGACGATAGTGAAAATGCCTAAAGCAACGGATATTAGGTAGGAAAAAGAGATAATTAATGATTATTCATTTTGTTGTATATAGGAAAAAAAAACAACAAGAAACTTACGAGCCATGATGACAACAACAATTACAATTGTTGTAATTGCCGTGAGCACAGGTGCAATCACAGTAGAAACTGTTTTGAATAAATATAGAAATAATTTTTTTTTACCGATTTTTCTTTTTAATGTTTTTTTAACAGATCCAAATTTAAAATATGTTTTTTATTCTTTAAAATTTTGTTTTTAGATTTATTATACGAGAAAGAATAAACTAAAAAATTCAAAAAATTTTTACCGCGGGCTAGTCGTATATTGTTGTTGTTGTTGATCATACATTGTTGGATAATTTGAATAAACTTGTTGTTGATGTTGAGGGTAATAAGGTTGTTGTTGTTGTTGTCTATAAATATCATTTGATGATGAATATTGTTGATCCATTGTAGCATAAGAACGTAATTCTCGTTGTCTTTGTTGTTGTGCTGAATCATCACCTCGACAAACACGCATCGTATGATTATTTTCAATACCTAATGTTTCCAAAAGTTCATTAGGTGTTTCACAAATATTTCGACCCTAAATATTTAAAATGAAATTATTTCAAATTATAAATATTATTTTACCTTCCAATAAAGAATTAATTGATCAATAGGTATTCGAAATGTTGTTGCTGCATCTTCTTGAACATCACGTACACGTAAATCATAATTACGTTTAACAATAAATGTTTGACGATCTGATCCATAGGCTGCCTCAATTTTAATCACTTTACGATCTTGACGACGAGCCATTCTCTTTACAAAAAAAATTTGTTATAATTATAATTGTATGGCAAATAAAAAAAAAACAGAAATGACTTTTCAAAAATCATTGCCTACGTGATTATGCTGTTTTTGTGCATGTTCGCTGAAAAGCATATACATGGTGAAGTTTTAGCAGGTGGTGTGTCTATATGCATATTGGTGATGTTCAAATAGGAGGCGTTTAACTTTGATTTTTACATACCTATTTGTATTTATTCGATTTTTTTGCAAGTTTTTTTTTTCAGAAATATGCCTGTAATTTGTGCGAATAAGAGACGAAGAGAGAGAGAAAAAAACAAGTTCTTTCGTCTATTCAGTTGCTCTTTCTTCTTTTTTTCTTTCCTCCTTCCATAATAGAAGTATCGCACAAAAATTGGCATGGTACAAATTTACTAAGAAACGATTTTTCTATTCTTTCTGCTTTTTAATTGTAATCATATTGTTGTTTGTTTTATGTAGACAAACGATCAAAGCGAAAGAACAAAAAAAAAAAAAAAAAAAGGTGACAAGTAACTGTAGTAGAAAGAGAAAGAAACATCAATCATAGTGTGGTTTCGCCCATATTCCCTCCTTGTTTTTTTTCTTTCAACATTTTACTGTCGCTTAGTTACATAAAATATGTATCTATGTTGCTGATTGTTGTGACGACTAATCATGCACAAAAAAAAAAAAAGATTCTCGAAATAAGAAAAGGAAATTATGCAAGTCAACTATTTTGATCATTGCATGTAAGCAGATTTTCTAACAAAATCATTTTATGTTCAAATTCTATCGTATTGTGTTATATGTATTACTTATATCTGTCATTGAAAAATGTTTTGTTTTCTATGATGTTGCAGAACATCTCATGTTGCACTTTAACATTCAATAAACACGAAACAACAAATAATCGTCATTATTATCTTATCGGTGTATATGAACACATTTTTTGTTTTTATTTTAATAATCAACTTGATAGAATCGAGATTATCTTTACTAGATATAAGGGTATATAAACAAACCTGAATTTCAGTTTCATGTGTTGCTTTATCTGCATCAACTGGATCATAAAGTTTGTGCCATATACGATCATGTTGTAAATTGGCTAATGAATCCATCATATCTGTACGACTTGCATGTGGAAGAGATGCTCCATAATGCGGTTGTTGTCCAACTGTTCGTTGAGTATAATGTCCAGCATTTCCACCAGTATTACGATGATGTCTGTTTGTATCTGTTACTTCATATTCATATGTATAGTCATAAGTAGTTCCCATTTATTACAGATGAAAAATTTCAAGTCAATGTATTGATGTTGTTGTCAATAATAAAAAATAAAATAATTCATATGAAATTGAAAAAAGTTCTATATAGCAGAAATAGATGAAGTTTAAGCATAATAACAAAACCTCCTACTGTTCTACCATGTCAGTCATATTTTCTCTCCCTTTCTCTCTCTCTCTCTCTCTCTCTCTCTCTCTCTTGCTTTCCCACTTTTCTTTATTGACGTTCCATAGATGAAGGTTGTTTTAATAAGATTTACTACAACTTCACATTGTTTCTCCTTCTCTATACTTTTCTGATTTAATAAAAGAAGACTAGACAATGCTAGGGTAGCTTTTGTTATATTATGCCTTTTTAATCTGTTCTCTATCAATAAAGAAAAAGAAATTGTTGATCTCAAAGGATTGATTATTTATTTTAGTTTCATTTGCTGATGTTTCTATAAAAAGAATAAATTTACTAAAAATCTATTCTTGCTGTTTTTTTTTCATCTCTCACGTTGTCATACATATGTTTGAATCTCACAATAAGAACATTAATCGTATCTTGAGACACACACATAAATGAGAATAAATTCTGTAGCATTGCAATAATATCAATAAATATCATATTTCATATTAAAAAATATTTGAGTAAAACTGATACAGATCATATATATCATTGAAAAAAAACAGAATTACAAATGTACAAAACATTAATCATGAAAAGATTGAAATATTTTTAAAAATTTTTTCCCAATTAAATTTATGTAGGATATTTTATGAAATCCAAGCGTTAATTTTGTGTTTTTTTTATTTTATTTTTCTCTTAAACCGATATTTATTAATGGGTAGTCATAATTCAAGTTCATCAACATCATCTTCAACGTCTAATAATTCTCGTTGTTATATGCATAATAAAATGATGCGACAACAATGTTTACGAACTCGTTCGAATAATGAATATATAATTCTTAAACTCCATTTTGATAATAATTGTAGAGAAGAAAAATTTCCATTAATATAACAATCAATATTAGGTATGGGCAAAACTCATATTGGATGTGATTGTTAAGGAAATGTTATTGAATCTAATAAAAATGGACGAATGATACATGTCATAACATCGAATAATCGATAAAATACAAGAGTATCATCGTTCTTTTTTTTCTTGAATAAATGTAATTCAATTATAACACTTAAAAGACGAATGTTCTTTCTAAAAGACATTGCAATATTTGCTATTGTATATTTAATAAAGCTTTATATGCAAAAATCAGTGTATTCTCAGAGTAAGATGATCTTATAAATCATAAAGTAAAAACTAAATCCTTCTTACGTGATTGTCAGATGATACAACAGAGTTTTTAAATCCATAATTTTTTAAAACTTATTTTTTACTTTAAAAATTTAGTTTACCCATAATTATTTTGTTTTTCTTTTTGAATGACATCTCTTAGTACAACGTCAAGATATCAGATACAACCATTCAGTAAGTTTCTAAATGTCCTATTAGCTCCTTACGATATTATTAAGAAAATATCTATTCCAAGGGACATTCGATCATAACGACATAAAATATTCTATGAATCTATGAATAATAGAAGAATTATTACATTGGCACATAAGTTCTGAGAGGTTTTTTGTGCTGTAAGCAAGTTTGAGATTTTATATCTCGTGATTGGAAAGTGATAGAGATCTGAAATTTTTAATGTAGATAAATCTCTATGACTTCTATCTACAATAAAAATTTCAGACCTCTATCACTTTCCAATCACGAGATATAAAGTCTCAAACTTGCTTACAGCACAAAAAAACCTCTCAGAACTTACGTGCCAATGTATTATTTGAAGTATTATGTAGGCAAATTCTTGACTACTTTGATTCCTTCTAAGGATTGTCACGAGTAGGATCAAAGGACGGCCGCACACTTTCAAATATATTATTTAATTGGTTCCTAGTGTTATATGAAACGTGATACATTTATGTCGCTAAGATTGGATGCTTCTTCCAAGTGACATTCTGTATCACTATAAGAAAAAAAACTTATCTTTTTTAATTTTTAACTATAATATGATCATACTGAGTAGAGCCCGTTGGGTTGGTTCCGAACTCAATCAAATCTGAGTTCGGGTCCGAACATTTTGGACTTGATAGGTTCGAATATTGAGTGTCCAGAATTTCTATTTTAGCAGTCGATTTTTTTTCATTGCTAGAACAATTACCCATAGCTTTTAAACGTTAAATATTGAATTAATGTTTTAAATTAAGAAATGATGCTTAATAAATAATTATAAAATCTATTTTTCTTATTATGAATATTTTATTTTATTAATGAACAAGTTTATAATTTGTTTGCTACAGTTTTACAATATAACATAACATAATTTAACGGCAACAAGCATTTCTTTTATATTGGTATCTACTGCCCTCTAGGTTTTTTTTATTGACTAATGGCCATGGATATTTAATGATGGAAGTTCAAAGGAAAAAAAAACGGAGCTGAAATATTACCCATATTTTTCTTTCAAACAAATATCTGGTCTTTTTTTGAATGAGATTTAAAATGAATCATCTAAAATTCTAATAGTTTTTATTGTTGAATAGACAAAAACCAATTGAATAATTGCATTGTTGATATTCGCACGTATAAGGCATTTATACAAAATGACATGCTTCACTGTTTTTCTTTTTTTTCTTCTTTAGATGTTTTTCATTTTTCATTTGATCCAATCGATCAAAAACGATCATTTAATTACTTTTGAAACATAAATGTTTTCTACAACAATTAAATTACATGATAATTCACCAAATCAATCAGATCAAAATAATTCTCGCTTCATGGATGATTTTATGAATGATTTGGAAGCAGGTATATCTTATAATCCACCACGTCATTCTAATAAAAAAATGAAAAAACGTAAACAACTTGATGCTTTATTAAAATTTCGTTCATCAACATCAAGATCGAATCGTCATAATAATCGATTATCAAATGAAATTCTTTTTAGTTCAGAAGATGAATTATTTTTACCGAATAAAAAAAGTACTTCTACAAAAGTGTAAATAAATTCAATATAAACAAAAAGAAAAAAAAAAGATAATAATAACTATTATTTATTTATATTTTTGATAGAAATCCAACACGTTATCGACGTTGGTGTAGTTATACTCGGCATATACTTTCTTTTTGTCTTGTTTGTATTTTTATGATTGTTTGGTAAATTATTTTCTAATGTAAAATTTTCATAAAGTTGTTTTTTGTTTCTATATAGTGTTGGATTAGCTTATGCAAATATTGAATTGAAAAATGAAGTTCAAAATTTATCTTCACGTGTTACTGAAAGTAAGAATAATCGTATAAATTATTATTTTTTTGTTAACTCATTCGAGACGGAACACGC